TTAGCACTCCGTCAGAAATCGTTGGCACACTCATTCAGATGTCAATGGCACTCGATCAGATGGCGTTGGCACTCAGTCAGACGTTGCTGGCACTCAGTCATATGGTGTTGGCACTCAGTCAGGTGTCGTCGGCAGTCAGTCAGTTGTCGATCTGGAGGTGACCAAGTGGAGGCGATCATCATGTTCATAGAAGTATATGGCAGGCCAGTGCTGCTTTAATTACAGCAGTGTGCATCACAACCCCATGGGGCTGAGGTTGACGGACTTTCCAATAGCACCAAAGCACGCAGCATTGCAAACAGTTCAGTACAATGACTCTGGCTGATTGACGCGACATAGACAACCAGATCAGTGACGCGTCGCGTTCCACACGTCTTCATCTTCTTCATCACTCCTTTGTCCTCCATCTTCGTCGTCGCCCTCCTCCTCTAGTCCTCCCGGCGCACATTTGGCGCGTCGCGATGGGCCCCCTGACCATAACACACAACAAAATATCACGCAGAGTCTCGATTGCATCGGCCTGGATCGTTCCACTCCTGCCTTCGCAGTGTCGTCCCCACCCTCCCTCTCCTCTCGCCCTTCAAGCTCCTTCGGGCCGTGCGGGCCTCTCCTTTCCCCCTTTGGGGGCCGTCCCCCGCTGCTGGCTGGGGAGTAGCGCTCCCGCGTGTGCGTCCGCCCGGGTGGATGCCCGCGCACGGCCCTTCGCCTCCTGCGGTGGGGTACTGCGCCTCCTCGCTCCTGGGCTGCCCGCGTCCTTGCTGCTTGCTGATGGACCGTGCTCGTGCGCATTCGCTATGCTGCTGTCCTGAGTGGGGCGGCTGCTCGGAGCCGCTCTGCATAACAGGCGCGCTGTCAATGCACCTCAGCAGTCTTGCAAGATTCGCGCACCCCGCTGACGAGAAGACGACTGGTGATGGATAAAGAGGAGGTGGAGCAGCAGCAGCAGCAATTGCGATTTGACGCACTGCTGCAACGGTAGATACTGTGTCTTTACATGTGCGCGTGCTACTCCAAGCCGTTCATCGATCCTCGTTGCACTAAATCGTTGCACATGCGCATGCGCCTCGTGGAGGGCGCCCGCATTTTGGATACAGAGTTTAACTTGATTTGCGGTAACCCACCCTCGTCAAGGGCACGACTTGGCGAAGGACGCAAAAACAAAATAGCCACATGTTGTCGCAGCATGCCGCGGCCCTCGCAGTATCTCAAGCACGCCGCGTTCAGACATGAACTTAAAGAGGTGGACGATGGAAGTACCCTGTCGTAACGGCGCGGCGGCCGCAACAGTGTATGCCGAGCCGTAAACTGTGCCAGAGGTGGGCATGTTCATTCCTGGCCGTCGGCAGCTCGGCTGGATTGCGTTTATGGGAGGCCCTTTCTTTCTGTCACCGGGCGTGGTGCCTGAGGCGTGGAGGGACAGTCTGGGGGTGATGTCGGGATCTGGAGGCTAGGAGGTGATGATCGTGCGGGTATGATGCAGTGAATCTCGTGCACTCAGCGTTTTAAGTTGCCGTCTCAGCGCAAGGCACCCGAAGTGTGCACTCACGGATGATACTAGAGTTTACAATAGAGGTGAAGGATGAGGAAAGGGTTGGGGGAGGAGGGGGCGGTGGAGGTGAACCGCTCACCTTGATATCGCGGTGTATGCTCGAACGCAACGGCGCCCGCGACGGCATGAGGCTGAATGTAGCCCCGCTCCTAGGTCCCCTCCGCCTCCATTTTCCTCCCAGTGAGGCACGTGGCCACCAAGAAAGAAGATGGAGTCGGCATCTGACTTGCGTGAATGGGAGGCCGCTTCTTTCTGCCCCTGGTCGTGGCACCATCGGCGTAGCGAGGGAGGTATAGACTAGGAGGATTGATGAGAGGACGCCGATATCGACAGGCAGCGATTCCGTAGGTGCGTCTATGTGTTTTCCTTATGTTCAGCTCTACTCTCGGTGAGGGAACAGCTTGAGAAGAATACCCTCGGCGAGGGCAAGGGGCATCGTAATATTAGCCCCTCCGCGATGTCCCTCGGTGAGGGCTGACGGGTGGAGGCGGAGGTGCTTTGAGATTTGGCGGGAAGAATATCACCTGATTGTTGATTCTGCAACGTCAGCCTGCCTGCACATAAGCAGCAGCGTACCAGTTTGGCATTGATCCAGTGAGACAGGTGGGCCACACAGCTGTGCCAGACAGGCCAGCCTGTGCAAACTGTGCTAGCCTCACAGTGTGTGCACTGCTCAGCTCCTTGCTTCTGTCGGTGCAGCTGCCCTCAGGGAGGGCACGTGCCGCCCTCGATGAGGGCCCTTGCCATGGGAAGGTTCAGGGGTATGTGGGATGATGTTGGAGCTCGGTGGGAGGGGAATGCCTTCCTGACGCCTGCTGATCTAATACTTGATGCTCTCTCGGACTTCTATACTTTTCTGTGCCTCCTCGCACCTCCTGCCCCGCTTGCTCTGCACTCATGCGTCTTCCTGGTTGACCTCTGGGCGCAACAAGCTCGCTCATGTCTGGCCAACAGCAAAAGGGCGAGGGGGAGGAGGAGGAGGAGGAGGAGGAGGAGGAGGAGGAGGAGGAGGAGGAGGAGGAGGAGGAGGAGGAGAAAGAGGAGGAGGAGGAGGAGGACGGCGTCCGGCAGCTGACGGTCCCAGGCCCGGCGTGCCAGGGCCCGCGCCTCTCGAGACGCTCCTGCAGCGCCGCCCACGCCGGGGACCCCTCCAGCAGCGACATGTCGCGGCCGTCGTCCAACTTCGCGGCGCACCTGCAGAAGGGCTCCTCCAAAAAATCTTCCCACGAACGACAAGCGCACCCCCTATGCAAGCTCGCGCCGTGAAGAAACCACACGACGCAAAATGTTTGGCCGTCTTCGGCCTCCGTGGGCCCGCTCTCCAGGCCCCGGGACCGTTAAAAACAGTTCGGGATGAAAGACTGGCCCTCGGGAGAAGGTCGGGACTTCTGGGGATCACGCATTGAAAAAATCCGCCGACCCGGTTGGGGTCATCGGCGTGTGAGATGTTCCCCCCTCCCCAAACCCCTCCCCCCCGGGCCCGGTCGGGTCGGTTTGGAGGGGGGGGCGGCAGGCCCCGCTTGGCGGCGCCACGGGCCTCACGACGGGCCATGATGGCCCCAAGAGACCCACTAGATGGTCCAAGAGGGCCCCGAGTCGCCGATGGATCGTCGTTCCAAGACGCCCAAGATGGCCCCAGACGGCCAGAAAGGCCCACCACCACCAC